TCAGCAGGACCACACTTAAGCATGAAATTTCTAGGTGCTTTTCAGAACTAGAGGATTAATTTGGAACTGACTTACCATTGACTACAGAAGTAAAATCAGATGAGTGTGAAAAATGTGTCAGATGTACTGTTAAAAAGATGATGTTTGGAATGTTAGCATTTTAGTGTAGTTTGATAAAATGCAAACAGATTTTTTTTAACTTTACAGTATTTTAAAAATTTTAATCTCACATTTGTTAATTTTATTGGAAGAAAAAAAATCCACAATAGAAAGCCATTTATTTTTCATTTTAGAAAACTAATTTGTGGTCTTGTGCAACTTCATCAATTCAAAATTTTACGGTTGTTGAGAAAAAATATTTGTTTCATATTTATCATCATTGGTTTACAAAGAGCATGTCCAAGTGTAATTTTGTTTTCCATTGTAATCAAATTCTCCAGAGATAAAAATGTGAAAACTGTAAAACTAAATTGACTCATGTAGGATGCTTATTTTTCAGATTTAGCATAGCCACCTTAACTGAAGTGATAAAGGTTGTTGAAACTTTACCATTGTAAAAAGGAGAAGCAGATAATTTAGTTAGTACTCAGCTCTCAAGTTCTGTGTGTTTGCTCTTGCATGCACTTCCATTATCTTTCTTTGTCTCTGCTACTTAGGTCTGACTGGCAGGCTGAGTTCTGCTCTCTGGTTTGGTCTTAACAGTTTGAATTTCAACAGTGGATGGCAATGGGTTGGTGGTGCTCCTTTCCGGTACTTAAACTGGGTTCCAGGTAAGATGAAATATGTAGCTACTCTGTTTAAATGGCAAAAATTTGGTCATCTTCTAAGATATTTCTTTTCTAGTACTCTATTCTCCTGCAATGATTGAGCTTGTTTCAATGTTGAAAGATTCTGACGGTGGCTAAAAAGACACTGAGTCCCAGCTCTTATGCCAGGGATACATACTGGGCTTAATTTGTGTTTCACAATGGACATGGTGGCCTCAAAATCTAGAAGAAACTTTAAAAAATAATGTATTTACAGTTTATTTTTATGTCTTCTTAATTTATTTCTATATGAATACAGAATAAATCTAATGCTCTAGGTATATTCATGAGATTAAACTAGTCAGTGTATGTCTAGTTTGTGGTTTGTTCTTTTTTTTCCCCTCTTCTTTTTTTCTTCTCTTCCCTTCCCTTTTCAGTTTGTTTTGGTTACGTGCTTAAAGATTGGATTTTCATTTTCATTTGGGATTAGCCAGCCTGTGGCAGTAGCACATATCAAATTTAACATATTAGGTTAGTCTACCTTAAAACAAACCCAGCTACTTCGCAGCTGTAGCTGTGACGTTGAACTCTGGTGCCATTGTTAACAAGCTGATCTCCTATGCCATCTGTACACACAGTGAAGAAGAGGTGCTTTTCTGGTTTACTGTTCACAGTGCTTATGTTTAGGTGTCTTCTTGCAGGAACCTTCTTTCCTTGCACTGGCTATTCAGGAAGCCTCTGAAGACTAATTTAAATAGATGTCTAAAGTTATGCAGTGTGAATACACTTCTTTATCTTCATTGAGCATGTAATATGCATTTAATCTGCAGTATCTATAAATGCCTGCCCCATCATATAATCCCATGGTTTCCTTGCATAGAAAAGGCCAAAACCATATTTTATGTGGACTAACTTCTTGAGTAGATACGCTCTGAAGACTGAATTTAGCTACTTTAATAACAGCTCTCCAATGGAGTTAGCACACAAAGCCAAGAAATGGGCTGAACTGCAAGTTTCTGTGAAGGTATTTATAAGTCTGTCATCCAAGTTCACTGATGAGGATCTGCAAGTAATGAAGAGTGGGCTAAAACTGATTGTGAAGTCGAGCCAAAGAGGCAAGGGGAGTTGTTCATGGTTGTTAAAACTGCAAACAACTTTCAGTTGTCCTCTGAAGAGTTAGAGGGGTTTGGGAGTAACCAAAATGGTCTGCCTTTAACTCCTTATGTTTCTTAATTTCATTCAAAGGTAATACTCCATATAATTTTTATGTGTGCTATCTCTGTCATGACTTTGCTTAGATCTACCTACCTTTATTTCATCTCCATTACCTAGGCTGTTCAAGAGATGGTTCTTATTCCCTTTGTATATTTAAAAATAATTTATATAAGCTTCATATTGTTCCATCACACTAGCCCCGAGTGAATAACAGAAAACCATGGCAGCTAAGTTATCAATATTTAAACTAAAATTATCCTGGTGAAGCATTTGGGAGAGACAACTTCCAACAGCTGAACTTTTTTTTTTTAATATGAAAACAATTTAAATTTGTATTTTTCAAGTAAGCGTATATATTTCTTCTTTCTGAAGGAGCTATGACATGACTGCAAATATAAGAGTAACTGTAATCTAAGGTAATGAAATCATTATGATATAAGAAAGTGTTCAATGAACGATTCTGCACGCTAAAGAATAGTTTTGTGATGTTCATTGCTGAACACTACTGATGCTTGATTATTATGTAGTATAGTGGCACATGTTTAGAAACTAAGGAAAATCCATGTTGAGTTTATACCAGATCTTGAAAAGTTAATCTGGTTTATTGCAGAAATTAATTTTGTTCTACAGGGTCTGCTTTCCTTCTACATGTTCCTGTTAATACTAATGCTAAGCTTCAGCTGAAAATATCCAGATATCCTGCTATTGTCATACTGTTTAGACAAGTGGACAAGAAGTTCACATTAGTGAAATAATTACTTTTTAGTTGTATGTCTTTACTGTTACACTAAGTACAGAATTTTATTAGCTTACTGAACAGTTTTTTCATCTGAAGATTGTGCTCTGAAGTTTAGACATTCTTAATTTATAAAAGTAAAAAAATACAAGCAAAATAGGTGCACTCTAATACCTGCTGTCAAGACTTTGAACCTGTGAAGAGGCTGTAAACTAGACAAATATCTGAACTTGTGGCTGCTGTGAAAAAATATCTCTTAAGGCAATGTAGAGCCCTGTTCAGTCTAAGGAACTGTGAAAGATCACAATTCTCTATAGGTTAGCTTAGAATTTAAGCACAGAACATGAGAGTGTGAGAGTAAACTGGGAGGGTAACTAATATGTCTTTCTACTTTGTTGTTGTTGTTGAGGTTTTGTGCGATGGTTTATTTTATTTTATTTTTTAAAGGACACCCTTCTCCAGAACCTGGAAAAATTTGTGCAGCATTAAATCCTGGCAAAGGTGCTAAGTGGGAGAATCGGGAATGCAGTCAGAAACTTGGCTATATTTGTAAACGAGGAAATGCTACTTTAGAATCTTTCATTATTCCTACAGGTAAGTTTAGTAATCATCCCTCAAAAATATTAATGACTAGTGCTTTATATTTGTATTTCTAACACCTATTTGTTATTGCACATGGTAAAATCAAGAAAAGGTCTCTGCAAATTGTGGCTTGACAGATTCCTTGTAAAAGTGAACAGTGTGTACTTCCCTTTTGTTCTAGCCTCCCTACTTCCTGTATAGCATTCTTTCTTCAGTAGCTTTGAGTTCTAAATTGCAGAAATGCTGGACTTCTTTTTTCCAAAACTGAGCAGAACTGTCAGATTTTGATCATAAAATAAAAAGAGAAATAATAAAACGTAAAAAAAAAAAAAAAAAAAGTAATTATCAAAAGTCCCCTGTATTCAGCAAAACTAACATTTCTTTCTGCTGTCATCTTTACTACTTACAAAATAGAGAAAGTTTGCCAGTGGAAGTTGATAGTGGACTAGATGTTTTTTAAGTTATTTTGAGAGAGGTAAAGAGTTTTATATATCTATGTTTTTTAGAAATAGATATATATAGAGATAGAATTATTTATTTGTGCTTGAAAAAGTCTACTGAACTTATTTAATTATTTAAATTATATATATACAGACACTTTATCAGAAAAATTATAATATTAACACTTCCCTAATGTACATAGGAAAGACTAAGCAAGGATAAGTTTTCATAGTTTTGGTTAGATTTCCAGTCTATTTATTAACATGCATTATTGGCAAACGAGATGTTTTGGAAACTCAGTGTTTGACATTTGGCTTAAAAAACATCTTTTAAAATGTCTTTCCTTCTTTTGCCAGTATGTGACTGGTCCAGTCAAAACCACTTAGGGCAGCATTTTCTGTCTAATTGTTTTTGTTTCATTGCTGAAAGAAAAAAACACCCAAACCAAGAATGAGCTAGGGTCTCATTAATTAAATATTTAAATAAATATTTAATATTAAACAAATATTTAATATTAAATAAATTAGATTAATATTGCAGTGTTAAAAACATGTACAAGAAGGCTTTTAGTGCATATTTTACTTCCTTCCTAAATGAAGATGTAAAGTTTTGCTAGTATTTGTATACAGCTGATAAACAGATACTTTAATTTATATAGCTTGTCTTACTCTGTCCAATTGACTACTGCTCAGATTTTCAGGTTTCACACATCAGTTCTTAAACACTGTTTCTTTATATATATGCTATCAATTCAATACTGGCTGCTACTTTATTTAGATTTAATTTCAGTTTGGGGTGTCTAATGGCCATCTCTTTCTTATGCATTAGGCTTTTGATACTTGCCTACCCCAGATTACCAGTAATTTGGAGAAAGAACAGAAATAAGATAAAGTTTTCAATTGTAGAGAAACTGCTGAGTAAAACAGACTGACCAGACTTTGGCAGTGTTTCAGTTCATAAAATATTTTCCAAAATGTCCTGTGGACGGAAGTCATAAAAGGAATAAGCATGTGGTCGTGCAAGGTGTTAAGTGCCCTCAGCTTCTAATGATGTAAAGGAAAACTCATGGCAGATGATGTTTTCCTGACTAGGGCTCCTGAGTCAAGAAACAGATTAGTCACAAATTCATACATGCACTTAGTTGTGCACTTAACATTAAGCACAGGGGCAACCCTTTGAAATTTTAGCCCTAGAAGTTACAATGAAGTCTAACAAGGCAGTATGCTTCTATCCAAAATGATGGAGAGAAAAATCCTTGCAGAATATTTTTTTGTAGCAGAAGTGCTTTGTCTTTC